CCAACCGCAATTCGAGAGGCTAGAAACAAATCTTCAAAAAAATAACCCATCATTAAAACGAAAAATTTTTACCATCTTCCTCATCTTCCACTTCATCTTGTAACGAAATCTGTGACACTTGCTGCGAAAGTTCTGTTGACTCCCGACTTTCAGGCCTCCTTAACATTTTATACTCAGACAGTTTTCCAGCTACGTCTACTTCATCATGCTTCTTCACATCGCGCTTTGCATCCTCAAATTCATTTCCCTCATAACGTAATCCCCACTGTTGGTTTCTGCTGCTACCCTTATCTCCATATACGGCATTTTCGTTCGGGGGCTAAATCAGAAATAAACACTACATGAGTTATATGGAATTTGCAGAAGAAATTGCAATAAACCAAGAGCAGTTCAATTCAGAGCTAAAAATAAGCAATGGCAACTAACAAATGATATGTAATTATACCTGTGCACAATTGTTTTGTTGTGTGGAACGATCCCACTCCGAGTATGTGTCATTTTCAAATGATCCAACCGCACGACTGCTGTTATATGTTGAGGAAGTAATAGTATCATTCTCAACATGCAAAGAATTCTGAAAAAGGAACTGTTGGCAGCGAAGTGAGTTAAAGATTAAACAGTAAAGATAAGTAAAAGCGCAACTTCAGAAATAATAATGAAAGCGAAGTCATGTCAAATGCGGCGAAAACATCAAAGACTTACTACAAAACTAGCACCAGCACGCAAGCTTAGCCAAGAAACTTTAAAGGCAACCTCAAAACATTCTGCAGCCAGCACTTAAAGCTTTTGTGACTGAAGCAAAAAAAGCCATCCATATTGAACAAAGCCCCTCCTTTCCCGTAAGAAAAAACAGGGTCAGAACTCGCACTAAAAGTGCGAGAAACCATGTCCTTGCTGCTAAAGCACCAATTTTTCCGCCAACGAGTAATTCACAATAAAAACAGAAAGAAATACTTGATTTGCAGTGCGCCTCTTCCTCCGAGATCTCTCAATTGCAGCCTCCCTTTCAACGTTTTCCCGTCGACCGAAATCCTCTTCGTGCTCACGTCCATAATGGAACTGAACCAGAAAGAAATGAAATAGAAAAAAGGTCTTCTGGAAGCTCTCCTTTTTCACGAAACTTCAGTTAAATACGAATATGACAACCTGTGCATTTTCTGGTGGTATGGGACCTGGATCCTGTCCTCCACCACCCGCAGTGCGCCATCGACGACTCTCTGCCTCACGATCTATGTATCCACATTGAGAACTTGGCCAGTCGACATCACCCATAAGCCGTGAATGACGTTCATTCGGCGCGTAACTGCAAAAAAACAAACTGGAGCAATAAATGTTATGAAGCACCGAGTTACAACGCAAAAAAAAAAAAAAAAAAAAAAAAAAAAAAAAAAA